GGGGGGGTCCCGGGACACCGTGCGGGCCTCCAGGCAGTGCCCATCCCCGGGGCAGTGTCCATCCCCTGAGGCAGTGTCCATCCCCTGAGGCAGTGTCCATCCCCGGGGCAGTGTTCATCCCCAGGGCAATGTCCATCCCCGGAGCAGTGTCCATCCCCGGGGCAGTGTCCATCCCCAGGGCAGTGTCCATCCCCAGGCAGTGTCCATCTCCTGAGGCAGTGTCCATCCCCAGGGCAGTGTCCATCCCCGGGGCAGTGTTCATCCCCAGGGCAGTGTCCATCTCCTGAGGCAGTGTCCATCCCCGGGGCAGTGTCCATCTTTTAACTCCATGTGTTTGAGAGGATGGTGCTGTGTGGGGACCTCTGCTGTGACCGGCCTGTCCCTTCCCTGCTCGGGCCAAACCCCCAGGCTGGGGTGGGGATGGCTCTTCCCTGGCGTGCAGGACAGCCACCCCTGCCTCCTCTCTCTCCCCACCCCTCAGAGCATTCCCCGGGGCCCTGCCGACATTCAGGGCTTGTGAGGAATGCAGGTGCCAGACAACACACTGCAGAGCAGCCCCACGCACCGGGGACAGGGTCCATAACAAGCATCAGTGGCTGGTGTTCACAGCCCTGGTGCTGGGGAGGCCGAGGGGCAGAGCTCCCCAGATGGGCAGTGTGGGGTGCTCCAGAGGGGGAAGCACAGCCAGGCTGCCGGCACAGAAGGTGGGACACCAGCAGCCCCAAAGGGAGCAGACAGCAGGAGGTGGTGTTTCCAGAGAGGCACCTGCATCTACAAAATTGAAGCTCTGGCTGTGACCTAAGGGTTGGCCAGAGAGTCTGGGTCTTTCCATGGGCTGACAGCAACACAAAATCCATGCTGCTGATCAACCCAAGCACTTTCCCTTTCCCATTCTGCTTGCTTTGCCCCTTGGGTGTATGCTGAGGGTGACCAGTGGTCTCTGCATCACCTGGCACCTGGGAAACAGTTCTAGGAATGATGATGTTACAGATTTGCTGTGTGCTAGGCACAAAGGCACTAGGACTGTGCCTTTAAAAATATTGCGACCTAAAATTGTTGGTTGTAGCACTACTGATGCTGTCCTGTTGCTCCCAGTCACTGCCAGGGTAGAGGGCTGGATTCATCTGCCAGTCTAGGACAGTGTGTTAAGAACTGGATCCAGGAAAACATGTGGTGTGAGTCTGAGATCTTGATCATTTTATTGTCATGTAACACCACAGAGAGGCCGCAGTGACAGGACAAGGCCTTGCCAGGCTAAGGCAAGTGCAGAAAAACTGAGAGATTAACAGCAGCACTTGCAAGTCCTGTGCACACGGAAGTCAAGAGCATACAACCTAAATACCTCACAAAATACACTGTGTCCTCAGAGAGGCTGTGATTAACAAAACAAGATACAATCACGGAATCATAGAATTTGGGTTGGAGGACACCTCTGATGATTATCTAGTCCACCGCTCTTGCCATGGATAGGAACATCTAGTGCTAGATCAGGTTGCTTAAAGCCCTGACCAGCCTGACTTCAAACACAATCACAGGAGCCAGTTGCCTAGTCATTGTTAAGAATGTAAACATCTAAAAAAAAATCCATCACTGTCAAGGAAGAGTTTGTGATTCTCTCTCTTGAGTGTTGAGTGGAATCTCTTCAAAAAGAGTGATGGGAAGGAAGTTTAGAAGATATCCTTAGTAACTAATGGTAGTGGTGTTAGAAGTAGAAAGAAACAGTCACCTTATGCCTTGCCACAGAAGTTAGGCAATGCAGGAAACAGTTGTGAGGACTTCAAAAAATATGATAAGTGATTTATTGCCTTGTAGAGACTGCAGTGGAGAAAGTGGAAGTGAGTTAAGGATATGGCTAAAGTGCTAGCCTGGAGAGATTACTCTAGGAGAGTCCCACAGAGTTCACGGTTACAGATGGGTGGCTGAGTCCTGAAAAACAGGAACTAAAGTACTTCTTGGTTCGATGAAACAGCTACACCAAAAAGTATTTTTAAGAGGATATAAAAAGAACAATGAGGAGAAGAGGGAGAAGAGAGAGTTGGAAGGGACCTACAATAATCATCTAAGTCCAACTGCACAGAAGGATTGATGTCCAGGTGTGTTTCATTAGTATGACAGAATGTTAGTGTCCTGGGAGCACTATTT